GTAGTGGAAAACCGTTTTCTTATTCGAAGTTGAAGTGAGTTATTATTTTCGTGTCACTGGCTTACTGGAGTTCCGCTAAACATAGCCAGTGCCAGTGGTCAGCGGTTCGGGGAGACAGGCGGGATCGGTAACAGGGAACTTATCGATACATCTCGGGGCATCAAGTCACATGATTGCCTTACTCGGACTATTGTTCTACAGTACACGCCCAGTATTGATTTATCGGACATGGTAGGCAGACCAACAAAGGCAAATGTGACAACCGAATTGGGCGTATCCCGTGTAATAGGTTGTAGGNGTTGTAGGTATTTTGTTCGCATCTCAACACAGCGTCTGATGGTAATTCTCCGATAAGAATATATACCCGAGTGAATAAAAATAATATTGATAATGATTTCACTGTTCTGATTATAGAATACACGTTGCAGATTGGTGAAAAATCAATAGATCTCATACAGATACGAATTATCTAGAAACAAGTAAATGTTGTGTTGAACGTACGTGCTGGTGATAATTTGAGAAAAAAAAGAGTGAACATTGACCAGCACGTTTGTTTACTCACACACAACGGTCGGAAAGTGAGAAAATAAGTGTAAAATAATTTATTTTGGTCGCAATGTCAATTTGTACATTTAAAATGAACTAATTGATTTTATCGTAACAGACCTGCGCTCGAACCCTCGGGCTAGATCCATGTGTGCAAAAATGAGCATAATATGAACGTGAGTTTAATGTCTGTATGTGTAAAATCGAACAAGTTACCCTGAAAGCAATATTCTATAGAACAAAGTACTCCTTCGGCTCCAAACCCAACAGTTCGTGTACTGCTTACCGGTTACCGGATACACGGGATGTTGATGAGTTCAAACGACGATAAAAAAGACTATAACAAATGTCCTCTTTTTCTGTTTCAAATAGCATCACTTTTGTCACCCTCACGTATGAGGTTTCAAAACGTGCCTTGAAATACAAACAGAATATGAACCAAACACGTTTCTCTGTTCGGGGCTAACGGGTGATCGTCTAACAGCATGTGTTAATCGCCTACAATAAGAAGATCAAGACTGTTTGTTAAATTACCAACATCGATTAGTAATCAGTGAGGAAAAACTGTAGCTGTACGGAAAGTGAAACACTTCTATCCATTTTTTCTTTCGTGAAGCCCCCGCATGTGTGACAAACAAGATACACCTTAAAGTGGTTCACAGACAGAGTTGCTTGCCAGAGATCGAACATGGTGAGTCAAAACGTTGACCACAACACTTAAAACGGTTGTTACTCTGATCATCAACAATCCATCGAAGATGCAGTACTCAAGGCGCGTCGTTCATCATCAGATTGGCTGCCCTACCGGGTGGTCTATCTCTTATTCCCCCCTCCCCGTCCCACTCACAACCGCCCTCAGGGTCCCGAGGGAACAATTTTGAGAACTGTTGCTGATTGGCTCATAACTGATACCGAAACCAAGGATTTGAGTAGCAATCGTTTATGTCACTACATTATACCGGCGATGTAATATCGAAAATCCAATAACCGATTTCAACGACCGTTTTGTCGGTTGATTTGTGGGGGTTCTGGTGTAGTTACTGGTGGTGGTGGTGATAGTGTTAACCTTGTTTAATTCACCATGACAGGCATTCTTTGAGCTCTTTCGTTTTGAGATGGGGACACTTCGAACCCATTATTGGTTAGACTGCATTGGTGCAGTTTGCACTTTGCTACTCAAGGACCTCGGGTGGATCAGGAGTTATTTCCTGTAATTAGAGCATGGCAGTTTATTGTCACCGTGAGATTCGTCTCTTCCAGTGATTGCGAGGCTTTGATGTGATCAAAATTGAAATCGTGAATCAACTTCCAACGTCTTTCACTAGGATCCTTTTCGCCCAAACAAAAAAGTACCTTTTGAGAATAAATGTTTGGCATGTGATGCAAATAATCCGTGATATACACTGAAGTTGAGTGTGAGCAACACCGATGCAAAGTTAAAAATCTGAATTTTATTGGGACCCACACCATGGAGGTAAAGTAAATTCTTACCGTTTCCAATTGTTTCGGATAGTTGGACACAACCCCGAACGGCTTGATTATTTTTTCCGCATCTATTACGGGTTTGCCTCCACTTTTCTGTCCGTCCTCGGTCGAGTCTGTTTCGTCCTTACCGGACACGTCTGAGGAAACTTTTTCGGGCCCGGAATAGGTGAAGTTCTGCTCAGCCGTGACCGATTTACCGCCGGTTCTGACCCCGGCGTGGTCATCGTTTGGTGTCGGTGTGGTCAGGTATCCATGCTCGGCTTCGCACGTGCCGTCCGGACCGGACCCGGCCTCGACTTCTTTCGAGTCGAGGAATGTGGAGCAGATGTACTCGGAGATTTGTTTGGCATTTCGTCCGCCATCAGTGAACTGACTCAGTTCTTTGTTCAGCATCTTTTTGAACTGTGTTTTAAGAGATAAAAGAGTGACAGGAGTTTTAATAAATAATAATAATAATAATAATAATAATAAATAATAATAATTGTAATGAGTGCAAACTGTAAGTAGTAGTAGGTGATGTCTTGATTGATCAGAGAGATGACAATGGGTGAACATTACCGAACATTCGCCATTTGAACAAAGATTGAAGAGTCGTCCTGTATTTTTCAATTTTATCTGCATTTGATGCCTCAAAGTTTTCAGTATGGTCGGGGGTAGAAGTCTAGGGTTGAGACTGGTCACCCTTCTCTTGCACCTCACGAAATGATCCCATACGACTAAGCGTCTCAAATAGCTTCTGTTTAGGAAGCCGTATTTACCGCCTTCTCGTGCGGTGGAGGTCCTTTCCCACCAAAGTGAGACGATGAAAAGCCGACATCCGGGGCTATAACCGGGTTGGTGGACCACCGGTAGTTCATCTACGGGATTTGGCTAAAACCCCTTTATTCCAAACCAACTAAGAGGAGGCGTATGAACCACACACAAAGTCCCGATTTTGGCTGTTGTGGTCACCGGCTCGCGTGGGCATCGAGGTGTAATGGGCACCTTGGACGTTTGACCCCGTCCGAAGGGGGTACGATCCGATAAAATGGACACCGGCCCCCAATGAATTGCGGTTTTCGCACACCGCCCCGCTGCCTTGCGGGTCAGGCTTTGACTAGTCGAAGGCTTTGGTTGTGGATTCCTCAAGAAAATGAATCTTCCTTTGCCTGGGAAATCTGGCAGCATTCGGCCTACGTGCAAATCATGGAACGTCTTTCCTTTTCATAAAGATTATTTTACCATGATTTGTTTGGCACAGTCTAGATGCAGACGTGTGAAAATGAAAAATAATATATCTGCATTTTATAAATCCAAGGAAGCTATTTTCCTACCTTAAATTAGCCCAAAGGGGGTTTACTCATCTGAAATAATAACATCTGCTCGTTCGTTGATAATTCGTTTATCAATAGTCTACTGAACTCTGCGAGCATGTGAAAATTTCGACGGTGTTTTTTATGCTAAAAGTGCATACAAAATGCAATTCAACTATTTGAGCCATCAGACCTAACGACAGTCACTGAGAGATCAATACATATATAGGGAATTTGTTTATAGTTACATGGATGATAAGATGTTTGTTTTCCTAAAGTCATCGAAAGTTGATCATTCTGAAAATGGGTACAACTTTGTGAATATGTTTGCAAGATTCAACAAACAAGTAGAATTGTTCGACGTACTAAAGGAGTTCATTCTTTATACAATCTGATATGTACTGGAGCTTGGTGGGAGGTAGTCTTGCTAGGTTCATGACCAAAAACAGATTAATCTTTCAGGCTATTTCAACATGTCACGATGTAACCTGGTACAATGCACTTCATTTAGCGTCGGTTCTCGCTCATGAATCACTTTGCTGTCCCTAATCCGTCCCGATCGATTGTGGTTTGACCCCGTCCAACTGGTTGGAAACCAATGCCCCCTTTCATTGTTGCTTCACATAGTTCTCCAATTCAAGTCTCTCTGTCTGGTTTCCGCAGCTGAGAAATCAATTCTCCTGCATATTAGATTCATTCATTCTGCTGTTCATCACCTGATTGTATATGGGACATTGCGTGAGCAGCAGCTGAGTGCTCTATACAATTTACCTGTATCCGCCTCCTTTTAATGGTTCAGTGTGATTATTCCGTCAAGTGACGAATCAAGTGGGATAAGCTGAATCCTTGAACGATGGTCAGAAGTGGGAGTTCCATTTCTGATCTTTGATTGATGCCTTCATGGTAATTCAATCAACTTAACATGTGTCTGCAAATGTCCAGCGCGAACACCTGTGATCAAGGTCCGAGGCAAGGCGAGGAGAGTCCCCGAGAATAGCCATACAGAGATACAGCGAGCCCAATTTGTTTGAATCCGCTAGCCGACTGCTCCACACGACCATTGATTGCACAACAAAATCAGAAATGCCTGAATTCTCCAGCAGTGAGATATGGGCCCTAATCGGTTTGCCCCAGTTCGAGAACGACCTGAGGTTGTACTATTACAAATCCTCTGACCAATCACTGCATCTAAAGAGCATGTATAGGTACAGATTCGATCGCTGGAAAGTAAACATAGTTGGAATTAATTTGGAATGATTGAAGCTCGGAGAACACACCAATAACAACAGGAAGCCTAACTGTTCACCTGCATAATGTATTTTTTTTGGAATTGTAGAATTTGATTCTTTTCACTCTAATATTATTCCGCATCTGTTGAGGTGTGCACAGGGCAATGGATAACGTAGAAATAGACGAAGTTGAATGCACATAAATAGTCTTAAAACAAGAGATGACTGTGTTGGGTATACTTTTAAATTCCACATTTATCCCAAGATTATCGACAACGGACGAAATGATTAATCAAGGTATTGCCTGCGATGCTATACCAGTACATCTCAATCCTGTTTGAAGGGCGTTTAAAAATTGTTTTTAACACCAGAAGTTCGTGCTAATCATACTGATTACTTTACTGATTTAGTTAAACCCTATTTGCAGCGGAACTAGAGGCGTTATTGGGGATAGCATTGTTTTACCAAATGATTCAACCAGCACCGCTGGAATTTGAGCGGCATCATGCGGAAGTTATTGCCGCGTGTTTTTACTCACTTTACTTGAGGCCATATCACTGACCGATCGATGTGTCTGGATATTCTCCAACCTTTCCAAGCACCATTCCAGTTCTTCCAGGGTTTCAGCTGCGGTTGTTTTGAACTGATCAAGGATGACTGTTTGATGGTGAATAAAAAATTATTGATCAAATATTTCGGACAGTTTTCATAACAGGTTTCTATGTCAACAGTAAAATTACCTACAGACAAAGTAATTAAAAATTCTTGGATATTTTAAATTTCCATGTATCAAGCAGGTGAAATAGAAACAGTGCACTCAGAAAAGCTACAAGTAGAACGGCACTGAATTGAGCATGTTTATGAAAAAATTGTACAAAAACCAAGTACTGAAAGTAGGCTCCAATTGATGTGACAATACAAAGGTGTTTGTTGCCTGACGGGTGTAAACACGATGAAGATTTCGTGAATTGAATTTGGAGAGAGAGAGAGCAAAGCCAATGCTTCTGTCTCTCACTAACTAAGTTCCATGGGTCAGATATCACCCGTTGTTTTCCGTTCAATATATATGTTCCATTACAACATGTACATATTTTACACCGGGGGCAGAAGAATAAGGTTTGATAGACAAAATGTCGGACAGTCAATCATTGAATAACTTAATACATTCTTCGTCCCGCTCCCCTCCCCACACACAGAGCAAATCGTTTTTTGTGTGCGGAACGTTGCATGCAGTCGTTCTTCGGGTGTGAGTGAAGAACGAAAAGCACAGGATTTCTTACAACCTGGTACTCACTCCATCATCCGGTGAAACCTCTCTTCAAACATTCAGCTTTCTACTCCACAGGATCCCATTTCATTATTGATGATAATATCAAAAATTGCTACATAGACATCTTACTTAGACTGGTGAAATTGATGGCTGCAATTTTTCGAGTCTACGGCAAAGCGATAATGGGCTGTTTTTAAGGTCTGCGGTAGAGGAAACATGAGTTGGGCGGCAATACATTCTCATTACTGTTTTGCCAACCACATCGTTGGACCATTGTTTAAAATAATCAATCGATTTGTCACAGTCGGTATTAGTGTGTGTATGTCGTTCATGTAACCCAATGAGACGAAAGGAGTAAGCAGTATACAAAACCGATAAAAGCATTTTTATCCGGCTGCTGACATGTTTATTGTTTGTAACAGCTACACAAGGACACCGTTTGAGCTGTCATAAAATTGCGATAACGGCAAGTATATGTAAAATTGGTAGATCGATGAGATAAAATCAGAATTTAATTTAATTACGCGATTGATAAAGATCCCATAAGTAAAAAAACCAGCGTACTCACGGGGGGTACAAGAAAGCGCATGTTCGTCTCCAGTTGTCGTATGTGAAGTTCCAAACCGGGAACTGAAATATGGAAACAAAAGCTGCATTAACCTCCCTGGAGTCGTTTGTCATGTATGCTTCGAAAAGGAGCACAAATGTTTGGAAGAAACGAACTAACAATCCCACTTCTCACTCCCGGTTTCCGTTACACACGAAGGAAATGAATTGATCACAAAAATGCTCTGCATCACCAATCCTAGCTGCCCAGAGTTAATGATCCATGTCGCCTTAAATCAAATGCTATGCCTCCTGTTGGTCAAACCATCAAAACAAGAACAAAAGCTTGTAAAGTGTTTTATTGATAATTCAGTCACTATTGGCCCCTTTTTAGACGATCCCACATTCAGAAACCTCAAGTACTCTTTCGGCAGAGCTTTCATACACGGACGAAATTTCGGAATTCTGCGATTGATATCCAATCAGTTCTAGCCTAAAATCACATCCCATTTGTTTCCACTTGCAACCTTTTATGAACGAACCTGATTCGTAGTTCGTCATTTGTTTGACTGCCTCGTGGGATGACCCGTGCACGTGTATGCACCTGGTCACTTTGCCCAGTTATTATTATTATTATTTTCATTATTCTCATTATGGATGTAATTATCACGAAAACGTGGCGACATTGCGAGCGTACGGTACTGTAGACGATTTGAAAACCATTGAACTTCACACTTTGAGCTGGGTGGAATGTGCCATTTAGCAAAATTCGTCAGAGTTCATGAACATCACGTGATAAACCGAGTAGGCTTGAAAACACTTCCGAACGACGGACAAACAAATGAACGATGAGTGTCTTTTTTAATCTCAAGCACCCCGAAATTGATGAAAATATTTTTTATCTATTCCGAATCACATTTATGGTATTATAAGTAGCGTTGCATCTATCTACTTCGAACAAATGTGTACACTAATAATTATTTGAGTTATCGTAAAAATACGCGGTAGATTAGGTTTTAGTGACTAGTGTCCAGTGGGCACCAAAGACTAAGGAGCTAGTGCGATAACCGAAGGGAAAAAAATTATCTACAAGATAATGAAGAAATCATCTTTGAAAGGCCAGTGAAGGGAATGGTAATTGTATTATCACCGTATCATCATCATCATCTACTGCGAGTATCTCGCACAATATTCGGGAATCATGATTCGTGCTTTTTAGTGTCACAAAATCTGATCTATCTATCACAGAGATAGACGTTTATCAGAAACCAATTTGCTCCTCCTCTGCAAACGTACTCACCGGCTCTTCTAATTTGAAGACAATGAACCGTTATGGCACGCATAAATGAGAGTAGTTGTTGAGATGAAGGACCCTCAAAACAAGTAAGTAGAAAAACTTGTTGTTCTCGATTATCTACAATCAGGTGATCGCGAAAATATGAAAGAAAAACTTTGATAACCGTGTCCAAATTTGCGGGGGTAGTTATTACTGCAAACATTAAAATACTTGCGATATTCAATGGAATAACTTTTCCAGAATATACTCATCTTGTCTGATAGTGGCTCGATGGTGGTGATAACCAAACTGTTGAAGGTGCCGTCACCGGATACTATGAGTGCTTGGTTTTGAATCGCGACCCTGCCAGCCAAGGTTGCAGGTTCAGTACCATGCCTAAACTTTCAGGGCCTTATATGTTGTACGCCACTGCAAGTCCCAGTGCTTAGTTCACCGAGTTCGATAAGTGAACACCAGCTACTCGTGGTTCTAGAGGTTTCCCCGTCTGCTATTCATCACACAATGTTGTTATACACTGGAACTTCGTATCTCCTTACATCCCCCAAGGTTTCATCCTTACTTCTATTCACAACGGCTTCGGTCAAAGAAATGCTTTTACTTTCCTGCTATGTGTTCTGGAAAATCTGTATTAAGCTATAGTTTACAAATCTTTGCATCAACATTTAGATTAGTCCAGTCAAAACGCGAAACAACACATCACTTCAGAAAGCTCTTCCTTCCGGTCTCACGCACCATGTTATATTCCTGATCTAGAAGTAATCTGTTTGAAGTAATCTGTTTGCAGAAGGGACCTGAAGAGGGAAGAACACCTCTGAATCAGTAGGCATTCGTATGTTTTGGGGACGTTTTTTCTCTTTTTTCAGTTTCAATCATTTACTCAATCCTGATTCGCGGCTTCCACTAGTCTTAGAATAGCCAGATTAGGTGTGTTCGATATGTCTGAAGCGTTTAGCGAGATGACCTAGAGCGTGTTAACCTGGGTGGATGCTCAATATCGGTGGCCTAATCGAACTGCCAAAACATACAATCTTTCCGTTTGATGCATGCTCGCCTCTTTTAAATATCTCCATCAGCGATGACATGGCACTGGTTTTGATTAATCTTACATTTTCGTAGCAACCTGAGATGAGAAACGGTTCTATCAGTATATTGCTCAGAGTGCTGTAGTTCCACGGAGGATAACGCGTGCATCGTCTTTGCTTTACCATGTGAATCACAGATGGCAGCCGAAAATGTGTGGTAATGCAAAGGGATAAAACTTTTACATCGTCACTTTACTGTATTTGCACTTACTATATTCTTAAACAGCTGGCGAAAGTTCTTAAGTGAAACCGGTAGCCTTTGTTAAATCGGTCACAATAATTTCTTCTCCGCACTGCCCTAGGTTTCATCATCCCATTTATCCTCATGCTGGTGGGGGACTGAATCGCACGGTTCATTATGTTTTGTTACCCCTAGTGTAGGGTGGTTTTCAAAGGGCTGAAACTTGTCTCCTGAGGATCCTAAAACCTTTTGAACAGCTGTGAAATATCAGTTACTCTTCGTTGCAGCCCGCTGCCTGCCACGTGTTTTTGCTTTACTTTTTCGCACCATAGTTTAAAAATTCTTTTTCAAGGACGTACGCGTTTTCTAAAGTTATTCTAAACCTTATTGAAATTTCCACCTACAATTAGAGTTTCTTGATTCATATCATCATTTAAATATGACCCATTTATCGTCAAATTGTAATTTCATACCTGTGCTACTTTTATCATGGCGGATGAGAAACATCTCACAAAAGCTGAAACAAACTGAAGGAGATTGATCTAATTACTCAGTAGTTTATAAATTACAAATACTCCAGTTGAGGGAACTAAAATATGTACAGTCTGAGTACATTCAGAAAAAGAAATGGATTAAAGAAGTCTCCGTTCATCCTGTTTACTAGTAGGATGGACATAAGAGATCAATGAATATCCGTTATCCAATCTATTGTACAGTTCTTTTGAGATCGACAGAGCATCTTTCGGGTGTACCGTATGGACTCAATGGATTTATAGCAACTGAACTTCCTGATTGTTCCATGCACTTACCGATGAAAAATTTGCAACCTGTTCATTGGCTTACTAATTCGCCTATTCTAGCAATATGAATGTGCTGTGAAAATGAAGCCCCGAAGTTCTCGCCTCATCGTAGTACCAGTGCAGTGACCGCAAGTATTGGACTCATTGAGGCGCGTGTTCTCGGGCCTGGTCCTCCTCGATTCAAACTCTCTCAAACAATATCGGCAGATGCAATTACTGCACCAAGCCATTCATTTTGGCAAATAAGTGAATAGTACACTAATTGCTGGTAAACTGCATACAGGTATTAAGAAACACCTCGGTAGGAGCAGAGATGTGTGTATAACCAGTCGAATCGGTAAGAGCGGGTTTATCTATCTGTCAGAAAACTGGTCTCGATGCTGCTGTTATGGTTTCAACAGTGGGATGCGTACTTACGCCATTTTATTGACAACCTCAAAATATGTGTCCAACAAATGTCAACGAAATAAACATGAATATTTTCCATATGAGTGTAATTATCAATATTTTATCAACCATCCCGATGTGGGGATCACACAAAAGAAAGGTCTGGATTCTCGCAAGGATCCGAAGCCCAACTAACGGAAAATCAAGGCTCTTGAGGTGCACTAGCCAACGAATTAAGGTCCTCATAGTTTAGACATAATAGGAAAATCGATGACAGAAATGTTACTAATCATCGTCACTGATTGATATCGACGGGGCGTCGAAATCAAAGCGCTTTATTGACCAATGAAGATTAGTGGTATCAACCGAGATCGCTGTACTACCACATCCCTGTATAGCCCTGTATATTTAGAAAAATGGGAATAGATTTCAGGCGCACGCAAACCGATGCGTTTACGAGGTCAAACAATTGTCTCTTTAAATCGAACTGTTCCTTTATACGATAACGTATCACACTTTACCAACAAGAATGGGAGGCAATGCAGTTTTTATATGGAATCATTAATAATATATAATAGGATGCTAATATTATGAATGTATAACTCAATTTCCTTCCTCCTTCCTTTACCTCCTCCATATTCCTGTACTGGTAGCGGGTCAGACCTATTCGGTCTCCATTTACCTAACACTGAAACATAATGTTGCACATCGAAACCATCCTTTGTTTTTGACAAAGCTGGCGTAACACGATGATTATACTAATACGCGTCACACAAACCAGTTTTTTGTCTGTGTAATTGTGATACATTTGCATCCAACGATACTGTTTATCTCCCGGTCATTTATGTAACCAGTTCCATTTCCCAATGGGTGTGCGTTTACTGCGTACCCAAGCGGTGCTATACTCATAAAGATGCTTCCACGCTTCTTTTTCGCCTGTTCGCCGAGCTCGGGTATGGTTTCGCAAAACGTTTCATCATGAGCATAAGTGGCATCGTCAGTACCTGTGAAGTGGCACTGTTCTGCTTGGACCCGTTCGTTTATATACGTGTTCTTGTTCACCGAATATCTACAGAACAAGCTGCAATAACCGTCCAGAACACTAAATCGAAAAAAACTACCAACAGGTATCAGCGAACATCAATTGGTAGTCAGGAGACATGACTAATTATCACTGATTTTGCTCCTTGAAAATCAAAAAGGACATCTACTCAGCTTCGAAAAACGAGTCGAAGAATTTTTCCCGAGTTGAGATTCTTCAATCACCTTAATAAATAGGCACATCGAATTGGATCACGTGCACTCGCCAATGCAACTCAAGGATCCGATGACGCAACTACAGTTCACGTCGTGAACTGAGAACAAACCGATACCGCAATCAGGATAGAACAAATAACCCGACCCTTAACCCCTGGCGCCAATTCAATGGGCGAACCGGGCGACACACAGTGAGGACAAGAAATAAAATAGTTTGTGGGGAGAAAACACATATGCCTCACGATCCAAGTAGGGTAACTCCATAGAATTTTGGATTATATTTTCTCACATATGCACAATCACCATTTTTGAGAATCAAAAAACGACAGCCAAATGAAAAGTTGAAATAAAAACCTCATTGAATCGTCTTCAACTTCAATTAATAGGTATTGAAAAATAGATTTTTCACTGAGGCAAGTTAATTGCGGCCTCTCATCCACCCTCGTGGATTTTGATAATTGAAGTCAGTTTCAAATCGGGTGCACTAGGCATTCCCCCTCTAAATATCGACATACCTTCTCGGCATACTCTCCATTCAGTTTTGAATGATGCCCTTATTCACTCTCTAAATAAAGATTCCTGTTATGCGTGCGTTTTTTGGTAAACTCTGAAGTGTTGGTACACACTTCGAACAATAATATTGATAATAGTAATAATGGGCTAAATGTTTTCTGTTAGGTTCATACCTGTGCTGCATGCAGATCACACCACCGTTTCGAGGCCAAGAAATAATAACTCGCATTGCGTTAGATATGAACTGTGACGTCATCCTAATTTAGGTGAAGTACTTTTGTCGCTGCGAACTGTCCGTTTTTGTTCGATATATATCTTCATTAAAATGGAAGGCAATTTGATCAGATTTCCTGATTGAAAGCTTTTCATTTTGTTGTCGTCCATATTCACAAAATGTTAATTATTGTGCATTTTGGAACGAATATCATCTGAAAGTTAGGATATCGCAATACTTGTGCTGTGGGGTGTATATAAACGAACTAGTACGAGCAGAAAGCTGTCACTTTACAGGCATTAACCATGTCAACTCGGCTGGTGGTGGTGAAATGCTTGCAAACAAATTATTGACAAGTTCGGTGAACAGTCGAAATAGAGTTCTGTTCATCCAAGCTATGCGAACCGTTTTGTTCTGTGTGTTTTTTCAAGAAGCTGTATTTCCTATTTTGACCAGTATTATATTTTTTGTCAACCCCCTCGGTGTCCCGTTGTCAAAACTCACGCACACCTCGTTTGGACAAAGTCTCGGAAGGAATCCCCAATGAATTAACAAACGGGGTGGCATGTGATAAATCAGTATGCTCCCATAGTCTTCATTAGCTCTTCCATT